ATTAATAAAGCCAAACAAAATTAAGTAGAGAAGAGGATTTGCAGAAGAAAAGAAAAGAAGGGCCACCATTCTCCTCTGAATTATTAGCCAGAAAAAAAGTACGGAACAGGGAATGAAAAAACTTGCCCTAAATCTCTGTAGAAATCTTTAGCAAGTCCAATTAGACGTTTGGCAAATGGACACAACAGCAGCGAGTCCGGAAAAGTCCAGTCAAACTAATTGTTCAACATGAAGCGGCAAAAAAAAAGCGAAGGAGAAAATAGAAGCGAAAAATATTGCAGGCAAAGTTTGGCGAGTTTGTTGTTGTTTGTGTGCAACAATTGTTGCAAGTCAGTTGGCGGCGCTAATGAAAAACGACAGGAGCCGAGAGGGGGGGAAATAGTTTAAGGGGGCGCCGAGGCAACCGCCATTAAATTTTGCTTAATAAAGTTGCAGCTGCTCCTCCGCCAGAAAGCTGAGAAAAAATTACCAGCCATCAGCACTTAATTGTTGGAAGAGTCGAAAGGGAAATGGAAAATGGGAAATTGGTAGAGGGAAGATGGGGGTTTCCCTCCTACTCCTTCTTGATACAGTATATAGAATGCCAAATTCAGAACACCTGGAGGCAGTTCCCAATCCCAGTTTCTCCCTCTTGATGTCTTGATGATGTCTTTCCTTCCGCTCAAATTGAGTTAATTAAATGAATGCCGGGGAGTAGGAGGCTGGGGCCGAAGAGGGGGGATATGTATTTTCTCTGGGCGAAGGGAATTAATGAGCATAATGGCGCGATTCCCTGGGCAAAGGGAGAAAGTTTTCAATTACCAAGCATTTATTTTTGTTAAATTCTAATTAATGCAAAACAAAGAGAATCCAAAGGGAGAGGCCAGCCAGCCCCGTTGCACTTTAGTTTTCTTCTGCCTCGTCAGCTTTTCAGTCATTTAAATTTCCCGCACGCATAAATAAATATTGACTTGTGGCAGGAGTCGAAGTGTGAGGCTGTGTGGCAAATAAATATGCAAATTCTTTCGACTTTTGTTTTCAATTAACTTTTTTCCCCCAACTTCCGTTGTTTCCTGCGCCGCTTTTCTCCGGATTTTTCTTTTTTCCGCCGCTTTCACACCGCGAATTTCAAATTTCCTTCTCTGACACACAGAGAAAGTAACAGTTTTTCGCTTGAATGGCAAAGTTTATTAGCAATTCAATGTTGTGTGTCATTTTGGCATTAAATAATATTCTTTTTCAAACATTCTTCAGGTTATATTTTCATAACAAAATCTAAATTTGTTTCTGTGTAGAGCTATATTCCTGACTTAAACAAGAAACTGTATTTCTGGATGGCAAATTAAGCAAATTTGTAACATTTTGTGGCTCGTCCTTTTCCACATCCCCGTTTGGTTTATATTCCCGCTGACATTTTGAGTAGTTTTTAATGGGCTCCATCGAACCCGACAAACTTGTCGACTTTCCTCGCTGCGGGCGGTCTGCCAACCACCAGGGAATGTCCTTCCTTTTGGCCAGCTGCTGCTCACACATGAAGGACTCTTGAAACATGCTCTCCCTTCAAACCACAAAAGTTGGCCTATACAGAGAGTGTGTGTGTATGAGTAACCCTCTCTGCAAGAGGTCCTGAAACATTCATTAACCCATTTATGGGCACTGCAGGCAACTTCAACTTATAATGGCCAGCTTTGAGTCTCCATTTCTTGGTAGTAAGTTTGCATTATGCCCGAAACCCTTTCAAGTCGTTGGGCACTAACTGGGATTTGCGTTCCCTGCTCTTAGTCCTCGTCCTGCTCGGTAATGTCCTGTCTTGGCTGCCAAAGAAAAGGTGGTAAAATGCAATTTTCCACACGACTGGCGGGTTATGAAGGCGCCCGCCCCTTCTCAGCTCCTTTTCAATAAGCTTAAGGGAAAAAAGTAGAAAGTGCGGAGGGAAATTTGCATAAATTCCACAGCACATATTGACTTTAAGCCCGCTTGGCTGGTGGATTGGGGATTATGTCACGGCTTAATTCAATTAGGACAGATTACGCATACGCCACGTGGCCGCCCTAAGCGAAGGCCAAAAGGTCAATGCTACGTCTAAATTTAAAACGCTCCAAGTCAACTACCTTAGCTGGCCAAAATGGTCGAAACAATCCGCAAACAAATCCTTGATTTATGCGCACATCCTTGGGCAGCCAAAGCCAAACATTTATTTCCTTATCCACTTGTGCCAATGTGATTTCGACCCATCCTCGTCACTCCTGGCTCTCAAATACGGATGCTCTGGACCCTGGTCAGCAATCAGGATGAGCAAACGAATGGGGTACAGTGAACTCTGGCTTGGCAGGGTTAAATCAGCAAGGAAATCTAAGAAATTGAAATCATTAAAAGGTTTTTTGAACAAAAGATTATGTGCTAGGCTTAACAAAACCTTTAGTATGAATATTTATCATTATTCTAAGGTGTTATCCTTTGAGTACCCTACCAAAACTGACCAATCCAAGGATCCACCTTATTAAGGATCTGCTGCACCTGCTCCTTTGGCAACTCCCGGCAACTTCGTGCACTGCGTTGATGATGATTTACTGTTGTGTTGCTGCCAGGATTTGCCCGTGTACTCGAGCGTGTCTGAGCATGCATTGTGCGCATCCTGATTCCCACACCCACATCCTGTGCATCCTGCACATCCTTCGAATCCCGTGCTCATCCCGCTTGATACATAACCTTGAATGCGGTTTTGATGTTTGCCTTGCATTCGACTCGAATAGAGTCTGGTCTTATCCCTTTTGCCAACTTCTCTGTTTGATTATTTGTACAAATGGCCAGCTTCCTCCCTCTTGCTGTTAGTTCTGGCAATTCCACTGCCATGGCCATGGCCATTGCCATGTGAAAAGCGGATTGCATTCGTGTTCATAAATTGTGGAAGCAGCAATGGCTCCAAATGGCAGCCAAGGAATGCTGCTAAAAAATTGCTGATAAATGATCTTTGCTGCCGCGCGTAGATATTTTAATATTTTCCGTCTCAAGCTCAAGCTCAGAATGCCGGCAAAAGTCCGGGAAAAGTCCTTGGCTGAGGGCAAATCAAGTTCACTGCTGCAGCTGCTTTCCCAGCTTTTCCTGCAGTTGCTTTTCTGTCTGCTCACTTTGCTAATTCCACATAAACACTGCCAAATGGCAATCGTCTGAGCTCTGGGGCGGTGTTGTCTCCTCTTAGCTATGTTTCCTCGGTTAGATGTAGGTATATTTAACTTTGATATTTACACTTAATTCACATTCAAAATATATTTTTAAACTTTTTATTTACGTAAAAATGAAGGCAATAGGAACTAGAAAAAGGATTTAAAATCATAAATTAAGTTGGCAGCACTGACCACTCTGCGGAACTGATGTACACTTTTGTGTAGCATACTTTTTAGATGGCCTTTCCTTTTCCTCAACCCAAAGACGAAACTTGACTAGCTTCCACATATGTCCTGTTCGCATCAATCTCACTGAGCTGTCAGCAGAATTTGAGAGTTCCACGCAGGCACTGGCTGGGCCTGCTTAGATCTTGTCTTATTAATGACCCCGCATAATTACCCCAACCAAGTCGCGCTATTTCCTTTCTCTATTTTTTGGGATGAATACGAGACCACTAAGCCAGACCAGCCAAGAAAAGGAAAAACTAATTTTCTGCTGCTGATTTCGAATTAACTGAATGAATAACTAAAGGAATGAATCAGAGTGAGACGAAGATTGTTTTCCTTAAGGTTTATCCTCTGCCACAGTGCGTTTCATGAGGAAAGTCCTTGATTTTTGTTACTTTTTGGATTGAAAGACTGAAAGCGTAATACAAATTATATTTCTGCGGTTTAATTGCAACAAAGGTACTTTCAAACTTTAGTAATTCAATTAATTTTCGGCGTTTTTTATGTAAATTCTTTTTTATTGCCGGGACTTAAGCAGGATATGACCCTGTTCGGCGCACCTGTGACCTCTGCACTTAAGCCAATCCCGCAAGCTGGACCTCAGAGCTAAGAGCATCCATGAATTTCAATTGCTTTGCTAGCCCGAATTCCTATGAATTTTCATCATTTATTTAATGTTCTTGTCGCTGCCAGTGGCGTCCATAAAAATTTGATTGAAATGATTTTGGGGCAAGGAAGCTGTCACAGAAACACAGATAAACGCCCCTACCTACGAGTGTGTGTGTGTGTGTGAGAGTGTGGTTGGTCCTTGATATTTATTTTATTCCTGCTTTTTTTCTGCAGGTTTGGTAGGCGCTTTTAATTAAAATCGAGTTTATGTGGCGTCCTCGTTGAGCCAAATTACTTGGCAACGTTTTCTCTTTTCTCCCTGCCCAAGCCAAAAGTCTCATTGAAAATGCCTAAGACCTCCCCTGCCACGCCCCCACTGCTTGTGCCCCACGCAGCCAGTTGCTATTATTTAATTTTTATGCCCCAGCGCTTTCGGCGCCGTAATTTGAGACTTGACAATTTGCCAACCAGCAGAAAAAACACTGGAATGAAAAAGATATTCCGATGTAGGCATAGCATTCTTGATTAGGGCCTGCTTAGTTAGTTAGACTTAGCTAGTTAATATGCAGTTGTTTACATATCCTTTACATTCAAAAAGATGCAGATTTTAATGAAGATATATCAAAAATTGCATACTTTAAAGTCTAATCAGCTAGCAAAGATTCTCCCTGTGTAGCTGAGCTGCTATCACCACCTCTGTAACCATGATAACACTTCCTGGCCAAGAGATCTGTAGGAGTAACCAAAATGTAACCGATTCTAATTTTATCTGGTTCAAGAGCTCCATGGCTCCCCGATTATGACACTCTCAGTGGACGGGGAGGAGTGGTTAGACCGCAGAAGATTCTGTTTATTGTTTTTGTGGTGGCGCTGAATATGCGATTGTAATATGATTTCCCTGTCAAGAGCATGGGGCTAGCCTAAACCAGAACTTGAACCACATTTACTTAAGAGCTTTTAACTAATTTATGGCATTTAATATCCACAACTAATTCCCTGATTTATGTTTGTATTTTCCAGTGCTGAGCAAGGGCCAGGGTGAGACATCCCGGTACAGATTCCTGGGAAAATACGGCGGCTACTGCTGGATTCTTAGCCAGGCCACGATCGTCTACGACAAGCTAAAGCCGCAGAGCGTTGTCTGCGTTAACTACGTCATAAGGTGAGTCAGTCAGATTTCATATACTTTATATCGTATATATACTAATCGCAGAAGAACGGGTCCGAGACCGAATTGAGCCAACTTGGGGCGGGATTTTCTATTGAACCGGAACAATGCCGGATATTTGCTCATTACAATTCGTTTTTTATCTTTTAATTAGGCCGCCAAGCGGGAAGTGAAATTCCCTTTATTCCTGCCAATTTTAATCGACCGAATTTAATTTCCCCCTCTCTAGAACAGCCTTGAGTGGGGCGGTGGGGAGTGGTGCGGTGGGTGGTGCGTGTGCTCGACATTTGCATAAAGAATTCTGCGCCTCAGTTGGCGCTTTATGTAAGCTTTTCCTCTCTCTCTCTGTTTTTTTTTTCGCATCGATTTGGTTTTCTAATCCGTCATTTATTGAATTGTCACCGAATGCGTGGGCGTTGGCCCAGATTTTCCATTTGATAACAGAGCCAAATTAGCATCTCCCCAATTTCCACAATCATAATCCATTCGATATTTTATTCGTTTTTTGAGCAACAAAACAGCTCCATTCCGTGGCTTTTCCATTTGCGTTTTTACTTTCGTGTTTTTCGCGTTTTCCATATAATATATTTTATTTTATTTCACTTTAACGGACGTTGCGTGAGTCCACGTGCGGGTCAGCAATGAATAATAAATTAACAATGTCTCTAATGAAGAAGCACCTCTGAACCGCCCCCTTCCACTCAAGCCGCCCCCTTTTTCAGCTCGACTGGTAAGTACCCCGCACGTTACTGTATTTACCTAATTTAAGCCTGTATGAGCAAATATTTGTGCATTGTTCGGTATTTTTTTTGTTATTTTATTAGACTTTTTTTCGAGTTTCACACTTGCCTGCTTTCCAAACAAAAATGAAGAGAAAAAAACATTCGGTTCTCTCTTTCAAAAGGCGGGTTCGGTTGTTTTACCAAAAGTACAAATTCATTTTTAATTGTGCGTTTAGAGACTCGTGTTGGGTTTCATATAAATTCGTTAATTCATCAGTTTATCATCAGATTATAAGGGAATTAGCCTGGTTGGAAACATCAAAAACTTTCACTGAATGTTCGTTTTTGTACACGCAAAGAAAAAGTATCTTAACTTTAGGGGCTTAAAGTTACTCAAAGTATAATTCATATCTTAATTTACAAAGTAATTTCTCTCTGTGCACTCCTTACTCCACCGCTTACCCGCACATGATGACGAATGCAGTGATGCGGTGCAAATGAATGCTGACAATTTGCTTTTAATTCACACAACATGTGATTAGCCCTCCCCCTTCTCGGTGTTCCCCTACTTTATTCATTTCCCTCGTGTCTTTATTGTTCTTTTAACTGCGTCAATCAAGTTGATTCAATTGTTCAATTCCTGATTGGACTTCTTACAAATCGATTGTGTAACGCAATGCGTGAGGGGTTTATGTAAAAGGGAGGGAAAATTAAAACAGCAGGGAAAGGGAGTCATTTAGAGGGTTTGCAGGGAAATGGGATAGAAATTAATGGGACTAACTGAGAGGAAACTATGTATTTATTAATAGTTTAAGCTTAAATTTAAATATTTCTGCAATTTCCTTTGATGTTTTTCCCCCTTTGATCCCCCCTCAGCTGCTAGTGTCTGATTTCCCTTACTATTTCCCTATTCGTTTTCCACTCGTGTGCCTTTAAGATGTCAACAAATCTATTGGTTTGGCTTGTAAGTAGTAGCCCCATTTGTTTTTGATGCTTTGGCAGTTGTTGTTTTCTGTTTTCCTAATTGAATGAAAACTACATAACACAAGCGAAGAGAAAGAGAGAGGGTGAGAGTGCGAGAGCCTTTGAAAGACTGCCAACCGAAGAGGCTCTTTGAACTTTGTTTACCTTTCGGGAAGCTCCCACCTTCTCTGTAACAGAGGATGATGTTGTTTTCATTTACTCTGGGCTGGGCTTGATTTACTAACTCTGTGATAACAGTTTTCCTCATGACGCAACAGACACGTGATAATAGCCACACGGAAAATAATGAAATATGAATGCTAAGTAGGTTAAGTTCTGAAGGGATGATAATTATAATTTTTGAACCTTTTGGGGGGCAGAGCTTAACTTCTATTAAAGATAAAGTAAAAAGTGAATTCCCTTTCACCAAAAACAGATTAATATTTACATTATTCCGCTTTCCACTCTGTTTTCTCCCAGTGCAGAGCGAGCTGATCCCTCTCTCTCCCTCCTCTCTCACTCTCTCTCCGCCTAATGAGCTTGTCACTCAGTTGGCAGCTGGCTCAAGGTCGCTTATCTTTGGGAGCGGTGCAATCTGTTTCAGATGCGTAATTGCCGCTGCATATTTATAGATTCTCACATTCTGGCAAAGCCAAGAAAAGCGACGAGTAACTTGCGAATTTCCCACGCCAAACCAATTAACATTGATTAGTTGATGTTTTGTTTTGTTTTTTTTTTTGGGGATGGGTTTTCCTTGTTTTCCTTGTTTTCCTGGAGGAAATTTGCATTTTGATAGCTTACAGCCGTAGTCCTTGCATAATTCCAGCCACGCGTTGCTTTTAATTACCGAATTTTCTCTCACTTGTCTGCCTGCTCCTGCCTTTCCTGATTTATCGCACTTGACAGAGCCTTCGGCTGGCACTGCCACCCCTTTCTCCTTTCTTTCCTTGCCCTTAAACTTTCTAGCCCTAATGGAATTTACACGAGTTCTTAACACTTTGCCCGAAAGTTTTGCCGGATTTTTGCAGAGCTCTGGACGCCATTTTGTGGCCGTGCGACTAAAAATTAAAACAATAAATTAAGGACAGCAAGGAGCCGTGGAATAAAAATCATTCCAGGCCCAAAAGTGCGTGCGGCATACTTTGGGGCAATAAAAGGGGATTTCATTATGATTGCCCGACCTGCCATAAAATGAACTGGAAGATGGCCAGATGACTTTAAACCGATTTAAAGAGTTTTCTTTGTATTTCCCATCCATTATTCATGTTTTCCGGGGACGACCTTTTCGTAGAGAAATTCCATTTGCAGACCGCAGCATAAATATTTCATATACACATGCTCTAATCGGGATTATTGACGGCTTCTCCTTCTGGGAAAGGGTTCCCGAAGTTTGTTTTCCCCCAGCCCAGAGCCCAGAGCCCAGAGTTTTTCCTTGCTTTCACTTCCCTTCTTGCTGGAGGGGTTTTGATGTTTGCGTGGTCGTAATTTTGATTTTGATTTTGATTTCTTCCGAGCGATAACTTCGGTCACCTGGCTAATTGAAAAAGTTGAGGGCAGTTTCGCCGTTCTTTCCTGCTTTCCTTTTTGACCTTAATTGCCTCCGATCGATTTTCCACTCAATCCGCACCTGGACATCCATTCCCATCCCGCCTCCGGTGTCTCTTTAAGGGAATGGCCCGCGGAGGCAACACCCGGACAGGCGTTAAATTGCCCCGAAGCCAGTGCAGTAAGCCAAAGGAGAGATTTATGGCCGCACAATTACCAAAAGGCTGCTACAATGGCCTACAGATATGTGGAGTGGGGGAACTATTCCTGGTGGCGAAAGAACATCTGCACTTGGAGAAAAAGGGACTAGGTTCAGGGGTCAAAAGAGATAGGTAACTTCTATAACCATTTATGACCTTTTTATTATGGAAATTTGAATTTATTTTTTATGATTCTTCCAAACCTTTATCAATATTCAGTTTTTCTCTGTGTTTCCCCGAATGAAGAATAACGTCCCTTATAAATTTTCCCTGCTTTTCCTACCAGCGATAGGGCTTAGTTATCTGGTCACGTAGTCGGCACCAGTTCGTTGGCGGAATCCTTGGGCAAGTCCTTATTAAAGCCGCGTTATTAATGCGGCTAAGCGATGAAGTTATTCACTAACCTTCGATAAAGCAAGGCGGGCCAATTTATTATGCTAATGCTGCCTGTTTGGCCTGCAATCCCGAAAGCTGAGCGGAAATGTTTGTTGATTTCCGGGCGGCCTCAAGTGGACGCTCTGACGTCAGGATAATTAACTGCGAATGGGGCAAGACTTTAACTTGGCAGCACTCTCGGGAAGCCTGGGAAATCCAGGAGGAGTTGAGGGAAAACATTTTACACACGTGTAAGCCCATCACGATTCGAAGGTAAGAAGAGTGGAATTTTCAACCATTCTGACATTGATGTAGGGGAGGTTTTTGTCTCTCTCTCTTCTTAAGGAATTTAATTTGGAAAGTCGAAACGGAAAAGCCAGTTTATGGATGAGTTTTTCGTATCCTTGGGCAAGTGTTTGCTTATCGCACAACCTGGCAGCTGATTCAGTTTTGATGAAGTCGCCGGCTCTTTATCTTTATCTTTATATCTGCTGTGTGCTGTGTACTGTGTGCTGTGACCCCATCAACGTCAACACTGCGTATACGCAACGAGCGTCGCCCGACCATTATTTGTATAAATATTTTCATCATTCCTGCTGATGCGCCAACAAAATGACAAATTCATAGTCACAGCTGAGCCCGCTGAATCAACTTGTTTGCATATTTATTATTTCTACCTTGATGGAAATGTTAGGGAAAGCAGAGGAAAAACAGAGGAAAAGCAGGGGAAAAGCAGAGGAAAAGCGGGGGAAAAGCTTGTTACAGCTCCACATGTGTGTCGTTAAATTATGTCCTGTGCACGAGTGGAAATTGCATTTTGATTGGCTTGTTGCTGCCGCTGATAGGACAGCATCTTGGGCACTCTCCTTATTTATCCTGCTCCCTGTTCCCGGGTTTGATTGCACATGAAAACGCTTTTATGCTGCGCATAAAATTTGCGTTGGAAAAGCCAAGCTCATTCGGACAAACGGAACGTAAACGTTGTAAATTTGCCAGCATCAAAAATGGATCTTCTGGGTTATCGAATTGCAAAGCAATTGCTTGAGAAAGCACTGCGAGAAATTTTAGACAAAATTTAAAATATTTAAAGGAAACATAAAAACATAAAGCAGTCAAGTTACATTTTCCTAGTCTGATTACAATTTCTATTAGACAAGAGACCTCATGCGATAGAAAACTCATATCAAGT